GACTAAAGGGGCTCCAGGAGAGCTGGAGAGGGACTGGGGACAAGGGATGGAGGGACAGGACACAGGGAATGGCTTCCCACTGCCAGAGGGCAGGGATAAGTGGGATATTGGGAAGGAATTGCTTCCTGCAAGGGTGTGAGGAGCTGGGATGGAATTCCCAGAGAAGCTGTGGCTGCTCCTGGATCCCTGGCAGTGTCCAAGGCCAGGCTGGATGGGGCTGGGAACACCCTGGGACAGTGGGAGGTGTCCCTGCCATGGCACGGGTGGGATGAGATGTTCTCTAAGATCCCTTCCAACCCAGACTATTCTGGGGTGCTGCATCCCAGAAGAGTTGCCGAAGAATGGCTGCATCCAAGGGGAAGGGTTTTGCCAAGGCTGCAGCCCCTCCAGGATGGGGGCACGGGCTGAGGTGCTGAGGTGAGGTCACATCTCCGCACAAAGGGTTTCAAGGTGCCAAGGAAGTCTGGGAATGCAGAGTCCAGCAGCTGGGAAATTCTCCGTGAAGGAAAATTCTTCAAACATCACTTTTTTAAACTTTGGATTTATCAAAATACCTCATTCTGATTTTAGCTTTTTCCATTCTGAAGAGGGTCCAAGGTCCTATCACAGTGTGTTCCCACACAGGGTATAACATTTGCAAGAGTAAAATGAAAAGTCAGTTTGAACTGGAAAATCATGGCAATGTCAKGAAAACAAAGGAAATGGGACATTCTGATGTTGTCAAAACCTTTTTTCTCTGGTTCCTTTCAAAATCAGCTTCCAGCAAAACGAGCAGGATTTTATGAGGCATTTTTGGTTTTGGCAGATCCGCTGGCTCTGGCACAGCAGGTTTGTGGTGGTGTCTCTGGTTGGGCTCAGATGCTCCAAGCCCCCATTCCTGGGGGGAAAAGGGGTGCAATGTGTCCCCCAGCCCCTCCACCCCTTGGGGATCCCGATCTYCCCCCATTCTCAAGGCATTTGAAATAACCTACAAGTCAAGCTATTACAACATCATTTAAATGGCAATTACTCATTTTGTGCTTTAACCCCTGCATTCTACTTTTTGACCAGGAATGTGTAAAATACTAGACATTTTAAAAAAAGCAGGAAATGATGGGATTTATTTCCCTTGCTGAAAACCTAGAGTGGTACAGTCCATGGCTGCAGCTTTGGGCTCTACTGATGCATTTGAGGATGCTGGCAATGGGAGGGCTGGTCCCTGTCCCCCTTTCTCCCCATCCCAGCTGCATTTGGCTTTGGGAAGAGGTTGGTGCCCTCTTGGCCACCCACGCTTCTCTTGGACCCAGGAGGATTTGGCTTTTTATCATACCTGGGAGATCCATGTCAGATAACGCTGGCAGGCTTTCAAAAGCTTCCCTCCAGCTTTTCTGCCAAAACCTATAGGATGTGTTCCAGAGCATCTCCCAGGAACGTTTGTTATTATGACAGGCAAAAAAAAAAAAAAAAAAAAAGTCTGGGGGGGAGAAGGCAGTGAAAGAGCACATTGCTGTTAATCACTAGAAATCCTTTAATAACCAACATTACTATAAATTATATGTGCATTGTGACAAGCACAATTGAGGGCTCTGTTTTTGCTGCCCACGTTAGGGCAGGAACAATGTGCTGTTGTTGCAGGAGCTGGGATGGATGGCATTCTGGGTGGAATCRGGGCTGCTCCTGCATACCTGTGCCCGTGGAGATGCTCGGCTGCTCCAGATCCCATGAAAGCCCCATTGTTCTTCCTGCCATATTGCACACTCCATGATTATAGAGCGTTGGATAAGCRGTGAGACGTTGCTTGTTGGAATAATAACCTATTCTTGGTTTTAGCAGCGCTATATTTAAGATTTATATATATATTTAAATGTTGGTAATTGCACATTTGGGACATATTGTAATTTGGGTGACAGTTTGGAAAGACAGTGTTGGAAAGAAAAGCATCAGCTGCCTTTCAGGAGGTGAATCTTGGGGTCATGCAGGACAGGGTGAGCAGTGTGGATTTTAAACAAGTGTTGGAACATCCCTGGAGCATCCTCAGGATGGGCAGGGATCCTGCCAGGGATGGAGATCCATCCCTSCAAGTGTCCAAGGCCAGGCTGGRCAAGGCTTGGAGCAACCTTGGGATAGTGGAAGGTGTCCCTGCCCATGGCAGGGAGTCAAACCAAATGGGCTTCAAGGTCCCTTCCAACCCAAACCATTCTATGCTTCCATGAGATCCAAGAAATCACAGTTTCTACTTTCATGTCTGAAGCTGATTTTTTTTTTTTTTTGCAGCCCTTTTGTGCCTTTTCATTGTGAAGAAGAGACATTTCCCTGKTACAGTGGGGTGTTGGGTGACTTTAGTCCAAACCGTGGTACGGGTGTGAAATGTGGCTGCTCTGCAGGCAGGTGACAGCTGAGCAGTGTCAGAGGCACAGGTCCCTTACATGTTCTTTATGAGTTTTTACATTTTTAACCAGGCAAACTGCACACTTCCTAAAACCCACCCCAAAATGGCAGGGGAAAAGGAGCTTTGCCCCRGTCCTGCAGGTCAGAAGGGGCAGAAGTGACTGCAAAATCAAAAGATATATTTACATCTTACGTTTACATTGATGCAGACTTCRGTGGCACATACCTATGGGTTTTAAATGGAGGATTTTATGTTAAACTGATTAAGTTTGCTGCAAAAAAATTGTACTGTCTTTATCCAGTCCGTTTAAATTATGTTCTTGGGTGTATTAGGGCAAGTTTGGGGAAATGTGGATAGAAATTTGGACAGAAGCCTTCAGGTATAGAAAAACACCCAAAGATTCCAAGAGAAAAATTAGGATCGTTCAGGTTGCCCAGGATTTGTTGGCTGAGATAATTTCCTTGGTTAGRTTTTGGATGCTTTTCCCTTAACTGATCAACTGCTGGGGGATTAATTGCCCAGATTAACTTTTGCTCCTTAGCGAAGTTCTCAGGCTGGTCCAAAGCTTTTCCTCCAGCAGGATCCCACCGATCCATCCCAAGGGTGGAAGAAACTTCCCCGTCTCCCTGGGGACGGAGTGAGGATGGGCAGAGCCCCCCAGCTCCGAACCGGCGGGTGTCCCGGCGATGCTGTGCCCGCCGGAACTCCGCGCGAGCGTTGGGAACGGCTATTTTAGAGGAGCTGATTTATTTATTCTGTATTTGGGGAGGGGTTATTTTGGGGGGGTCGGGTCCCAGTCACACACGCCGCTCCCCACGGACACGCTGTCGCCGTGGCAGGGACACGACGTCCCGTGGAACGGGACACGAAGCCGTCGCTCCCGCGGGTCCCGGCGGCGCTGCCGGTGCCCAAGGCCGGTCCCGCAGCCCCGGCTCTCCCCGCATTGCCCCGGCCCCGGCCCCGCGGTGCTGGCGGAGGGCGCGGGGACCGCGCGGCCCCGGTTCTGCCGTTCATTCACGGGCACGCCGGGGTGGGAGCGGGGCGGGGCACGCGCCACGCGCCGGCCAATGGGAGGCGGCGGCGCCGCGCGTCACGCGGGCTCGGGCCAATGGGAGCGCGTCGGGACTGAACTTTTGCCACGGCGGACAAGTTGATACATCGCGGGGGTGTGTCCGGCGCGCGGCCCGCGGGGGGAGCGTTAACCCCCGCGCCGCCATGACCTACTTTCACACCGGGCCGCCTTCCCAGCCCCCAAGTCCGCTCTCCCGCTCCCCGCGGGGCGATCCCCCCCTCCCGCCCGCCGGCAGCGCGGGGCCGCGCGGGGCTTGCGGCGAGCGGGAGC